GGAAAACAGGAAAAAACAGTACGAGGCTAGCAAGAGAACTTCAGCTGCCTTTGAGGACGATGTTTTCGATATGGAGGCTCATTACAAGACTGAGCTTGAAGCGCATAAGGCTGTGATTGGCGAGCTCCAAAATAGATTACATCAATGGGTTCCACTGGCATCGTTGAGCAGGACGGGTGGGGAGCCGGCGTTCAGGCAATATCATACAAAGAGCATGGGGAAACTATTTCTGTTATGACTCAGACCATGGGCAGCCGCTACTGTAAGGACGCTGCTACAACGACTAAAATTGGCGACGACCTGCTCAATGAAGCGTTACTGGTGCACAATATGCTGAAAATCCAGATCCCAAAATTCACTCAAACTGATGTGGAGATAACTAGAACGGATAAAAATGCATCAGTGTCCTAGAGTCAGCTGCTAGTCCTTCATTTGTCCAACTGTCTTCAGCTGAGAAGCAAAGCTCCCCGAGAGGTGAACCTCTTTCAAATAACGCTGACGCTGCGAAGGGTCGAATTTGTAGCGGTTCGGAGACGGACTTGCTGGAAAGGCTAGAGAAATTAAGTGGACGATATAAGAAACTATCGGACAGCAAAATCCGGCAAAAAACAGATCTGGAAATGCCAAAGGAAATTAAAGAAGCCAATATTCCCAACTCTCCACCGTCAGTTCCACCCTTATGGACCCCAAATAGAGAACAGGTACCCTCTGATCAACGAAAGATTTTGATCTTGTGTGATGATTACGGTCGACACCTATATCACTATTTACGTCTACAACCCACACTGGCAATTTACAAAATCAGCATGGTAATAAAGCCAGGAGCCCACTTCCACAGCATCCTTGAGAATTTGAAAAGCCATACTCAAGGTTATGGAGAAGAAGATTTCATCATCATCAGTGGTGGTTATAACGACCTGTTGAATAACAAACACCCCCAGATCAACTTGATTTGGAATCGCCTCAAGTCCTGTTTGTGTACTAACTATATTTTTCTATCTTGTCCTATTTTTGCCAGGAGTAGGAATAAATCTGCTATTTCTGATTTTAATAGTAGGTTCGGCTTGTTTTTGGATAAAATTCACAGAATTTCGGAAACATCGCTGGAGTTTGTTAACGTGAATAATAATAAGGGTTTCTATCTAAGAAAATGGCAAATTGGCAGACTGGTCACCAAAACCCTAACAGTTACTTTAAATAGCAATAATAAATCTCTTATTTTTATTAAAACATCTGATAAATTGCGTAATAAAGCTCCAGCGAGTCCGATCTTAAACATCGCTGATACCGTAGATATAGATATAGAAGTAGGAAAACTTAGTGAAAGTGAAAACAGGGAAAAAAAAGCTAATAATGCTGGAATTTTTTTTATTTACGTCCAAAAAACTCTTTCAAATGGGTGCACATTAAATGTTTTAGAGCCCTTAATCGACTTAACTACATGTAGTGAATCATTGGGGAAGGTTAGCAATGTTGAGCCTTATCAAGAACACCTATTTCAAAGTCAGGAAATTTTTTTAGGGTGCACCAAAAAACAAACGCCTCAAATATAGTACAAAACAAAACAAAAACGCCTACTCCCTATCGGGAAAAACTGGCAGATAAGAATGAACTCTCTGTTATCTTACAAAATATTCGATCTCTCAGAAATAAAACCGATGAATTTTTTGCGTTCCTAGAAACTTTAAATTTTCCTGATCTAGTTTTAGTAACAGAAGCTTTTTTATTCCTAATTATAAAACCGTCTCAGTAACTTGTAGAGAAAGCTCACTCCATGGAGGAACATACTATCGAAGGGCTCATATAGTTTTAAAACTATTGATCGCTTTGACCACCTCTTGACGGAGGGGGTATTTGAGCTGTCCGTGACATATTGTGGTCAACATGATCTCTTTTTATTTTGCTTATATCGACCCCCATCAGCCAATTTTAGGGATTTTATTAACAGATTGGATACTCTGTTATGTGAGACTCCAGTTAATGCCAAAGTTATCCTAGCGGGAGACTTTAACGTGGATTTGTGCGCCATAGACCATGTCAACTCTGCCATGCTCTCGAACCTGTTAACGGCATATGGTTTGAGCATCCATGTCAATGAGCCAACGAGGATTACAGACTCAACTTCGACACTGCTGGATTACGTTTGTTCTAATTTTGACGGCGTCTCATGTGATGTTCTTCACTCCGGGTTATCCGACCACGAAGCCGTGAGCTCCATTTTTCAACTTAGTTCTCCTACGATAAAAAAACAGCGACGCCAAGGTAGGATTTTTAATAAAAAAGCGTATGTCAGATTTAGAAACATTTGTAACGGTGTCAACTGGAATGGTGTTGTCGGCGCCCCGGATCCCCTGAGTACTTTTCATAGAGTCTTATTGGATAACTTTAGACGTGCCTTCCCTTTGCGATGGATAAGGCAGAGACAAGGTGATACAAAACTCTGGTTGTCTGTTGGTATCAAAACTTCTTCACGTAATCTCCGTTGCTTAAATTACCTAAAGAAATTCTTTAAGTCAGAGTGGTTTTTATCTTATTGTAAAACATATAAGAATATACACACAAAAATTATTGTTGCCGCAAAAGAAAAGTATTTCATAAATAAAATTTTTCACTCAAAAAACCGAATGAAGGAGAGCTGGTCCATTGTTAATAGTATTCGTAACAGACCACCTCGAAACAGGGAGGTAACAATAGACGTTAATATATTGAATAGTTTTTTCTGCGGCATTGCTGCCACCTTAACACAGGATCTCCCTTCTGATACTGATCCCATGAGCTATATGTTAAATGTATCCGTACCAAGTTCCTTCCATTTTTACCCTGTAGAATTTCGTGAAGTCCTGGATGCACTCTTGGAAATAAAAAACCAAAAATCTTCAGGTAATGATGAAATTTCAGCCAACGTTCTGCTAAACCTGCCAAATAGCGGTCTTATTGCATTGTGTGAAGCTATAAATGTTTCTTTGATTGATGGTTGTTTCCCTTCATGTCTCAAGGCTTCAATTGTGATTCCACTCCATAAAGGCGGCGATCCCAATATTCCTTCCAATTATCGACCAATCTCTCTCTTGCCCACTCTGTCAAAGCTTGTCGAAAAAATAGTTAAAAAACGTACGTTAAGTTATCTTAATAAATTTAATTTGATCACCCCAAAACAATACGGCTTTCGAGCCTCAAAAAGCACTCATGACGCCATTTTTGGGTTCTTGGAGAGTGTGTACTCTAATCTAAATGGTGGTGAAGTTGTCGCGGCGGTATTCTGTGATCTTTCAAAGGCTTTTGACTGTGTGGATCACGGGATACTGCTGAAAAAGTCGGAACGGTATGGTTTTAGAGGGCCAGTATTGTCATGGTTCAATTCATATTTGAGCTTTCGAGATCAATCAGTGGTGAGCTCGGGTTCAAGTTCTTCTTCCCTCAGTGTCAAGTGCGGTGTCCCGCAGGGTTCAGTGCTGGGACCTCTGCTCTTTTTAATTTATATTAATGACCTTGTTCAGTTAAATATCTCAGGTATATTTACTCTATTCGCAGATGACACCTCAATCCTGTGGCACCACAGAGACATTTACATTTTGAAAGCGACCATGGCTCAGGACCTCTCGAATATTAAAGGGTGGTGCGACGCAAACCGCCTGTGTCTTAACATCTCTAAAACTAATATATTGGGCTTTAAATGTAACATTCTGGGCGTAAATCTGGGAGATCAGGTTTTGCAGAGTCAAATCATGACAAAATTTTTGGGTGTTCAAATTGATATCCAATTGAAGTTTGAGGAACACATTTTTGGATTGGGTAAAAGGCTGTCATCTGGGTGTTTTGCCATCAGGTGTATAAGGGCTGAGTTGGGAGCGGATGTGGCAAGGACTGCATACTTTTCTCTATTCGAGTCTCACTTGAGTTATGGCATCCCTTTTTGGGGCGCGGCCAGTCAATATTTGCTCAAAGATCTCTTCATTCTTCAAAAAAAGGCAGTTCGATTTATTGTTAATATCCATCAAAGAGAACCTTGCAAACCACACTTCATAAAACTGAAAATTTTGACATTAACATCATTGTTTATTCTTGAGACGTCTAAGTTTGGTTTTTAAAAATTGTAAAAATATACGTGCTGCAAGATCTCAACAAGTAACCAGGCAAAACTTTGACTTGCCTCTGCCTATACCTAAGAGCACCTTGATACAAAAGTCTTTTATATACGAGGGTCGAAAAATTTTTAACCACATACCACTCGAAATCAGACAATCAGTGACTTTGAAATTTTTTAGAAAAAAGTCAAAAAATATACTAATTACCAAAGCTTACTATAGTTTGACTGAATTTTACAATGATATTCATATGCTTTAAATTTTATTTTGTCCATACTGTGTTTCAAATTGACCATGTCTTATTTTTTATGTTAGCTTATAAATTTTCTAATGACCTCATATCATTATGAGATTGTACAATATATTAAATTATTTAGGAAATATTGTCACATCCGCATTGTTGTCATTGTTTTTATTGTTCTTATGCTTTTTTTTTGCCTGTTCGTACTTTTCCCTGTTCGTACTGTTATGTGAACTTGACTATGCTATGTACCTTTAAATCTTTTATGAAAATTGTTTACACTTTCATCTACCCAAAATTTTTAGTCTTTTGTAGTATTTAGTAAACTTATTGAAGATATTTTATATATGTTAAGTTATAATGTTAATGTTAATGTTAGCTTTAGCCTGCTTTGTCGACAGAATTCTATTCTTGATAATAAAGTACATTATTGATTGATTGATTGATTGAATTAAAGCTTTCTATCGCTAATAGAAAAAAAGTAAGGATTTTTTTAAAGTTTACAAAAATTTAAATCATAAGATTTATATGGTAAAGTGCTAAAATGATGAAATTTCGAATTTTATCATGTTGAGACTTTGTGTATTAATCATCATCATTATCACCCTCCAAAACTTCATACATTAAATTATTCCGAGATATGAAGCCCAAATTTTTTTAAAAATCAGAAAAATTCACCATCCACTTTGCTTAAACTGATATTTTTCAGCTTCTTCTATAAGTCGTCGCTTAAGAGGCCGTAGCATGTACACAATACCAAGGGGCAACGATGAATATCAAAATTTAGTATCTCCAAGAGGAGGACAAAGCGTACCGCCCGATTTTTACCAGAGTTACGATGAAGTTGTCGTCAATTATGGAACAGTCAACCCTAATCAGCCTGTTAAAACTCACAGTGTGGAAACTAGAATGAAGCCTGTTTGAATTTTATTAGTTGTAACCTATTCTAAGCTTTATTGTGATAATGATTTTGACTTATATACAGGGTTGCCAGTTTTGTTAGTAGAAATTTTGATTTTTTTTATCTCTATTTCTAATTTTTTGTCTATTCCTGGCTCTTGAATTTTTGGAAATTACAATCCAAATCAAGAGCCGCAATACTCAAAAATTGAACATAGAAAATGATCACAACCAATCAAATCCTGCAGCTGTGAAATTTTTGCAGTTATATATGAATTTGTAGACAATTTTTTTGGTTTTAATTCAACCCTAATTACGTCAAAATCGGATTGAAATTAACAAAGTTGTGAGGCAAAATGTGTGTCATTGGCCAGCAAAAATAACATTGGAAAAACAAAATAAAACACAAACAATTATAAAAAAAAACTTATTATTATTATAATTATTATTTAAATTATAAAAAAAAAATAACGAAAACTTTAAAACTTAACTCTAAAAAATAAATAAATAACAATTATATTTTTTTCGATTTTTTAACTTTCTTTGTAGTTTTTTCTTCATCCTTTTTACGTTTGGATTTTTCCTTTTTTCCGCCTTCTTGTACTTCTTCCATATTATCAAACAAATCCTCATACTCTTGGTCAACCTCTCTCTCCTTTTCAGCAGCAACCTCTTCAATCTGTTCATCCTTTATTAGTTGTTTCACCAACAATTTGGTCAAATTTTGTTTCATGTACAACTATTAATAAAATAATAATAATACAAAAAAAATATAATAAAAATAAAAAACGTACTTTACTAACTAACTCCTTAGTTTGCATATTGTGCACCCTCAAATACCTATCCAAGCTAACACTAGCAACAAAAGGCTCATTACATACAATACTACTAACACTTCCAGTAAAGGAAGTGTAAGTTTTCAAAACCTTTGCCGGCTGCCTTAAGTCCAACCATTGCATGTAGCCTTTGGTAGTACCGACACAAACCTGCTGAGCCCCAAAAACTGTAGAAATTGTAGTGTAGCTGGCCTTTTCTTCTTGGAATTTCACAGTTGGTCTTCTTTGGGCTCTATCGTCGTACAATAAAACATGCCCTTCTTTTGTACAGCAAGCCCCTAAGTTGGGTTCTTGGTTAAAAAAGGTGATGTCTCTTATTGATGTTGGTATAGGGAGTTGGAGGTGATCGTGTCCTAACTAAAACCATATACTTGTCTGTACTAAATCTGGATAATTTTCAAGTAAAACACTGAAGATGTTGTCCATAAACAAGGAAGGTACTGGTGCTGTGATATGATTATTAAAGCTACATATCACAACAACCTGTTCCTTACTCGTCGAGGGCCATTTCTTTCCAGCTGCTACAATCAATTCTGCGGTGCTGCTTTATCGTCAGAAGTAGGTAAGGAACTAAAACTGGGCTATTATTAGAAACAGCACATAACCCATATTTCAGTTCCTTTCCCACTAATTGTTCCAAAATTAGGTACCTAAACAATTGAAAGTTAATTAATAAATCACTTACTGATTTTGCCTTAAAAATACACTCCCTAGTATCAATATCCCATAGTTTATAATCATTAAACTCTCCACCGGTCCCAATAAGATTTGGCCTATTCGTATTAGCAACCATAGCATCTAATGACCCCGATTCGTCCAAATTCAAAGAAAAAAAATCGTTTTTCTTTTTTTTGCTTATATTAATAATGCCGTCGCGTTTACCAATTATAAAGCTATTTTTAATGCAACAACAACCTGGAAAATTTTGCTTTATTTGCCTGGTTTTAATAAAGTTAAAACTAACTAACCTATAACGCTCTCGTCGCCCTCAAGATTATCAAGTTTCCTAACAAATGCAGCTTTTTGAGTATCGAAAATTTGGGCGTTACCACTTTGGTACCCCAAAATAATTTCGTCGGGGCTTCGCCCCTCGCACAAGGCAGTCACCTCGGTGGTTTCGTCGTTTTTGTAGATTTTTATTTCGTTTGGTTTTTCACCAGTGGCTGCATTTTAATTTTATTAATAATTTACCAAAATTGTAAAAATATACTTACACAGTAACACGCCCCTCGCAGTGCCCACGTAAAACCGATACTTGGTCACGTCCATTATGAAATAATTAGAATTTTTATAGCATTTTTAATTTACACGTGTACAGCTTGGAAGGCGAGCTGCAAAGAAGTGGAAAAACGTTAAAAAGGCGCCAAAAGGCATGTGTAGTGGAATGCGGAATGCCCTTTTTTTTGACGTGTAATTTTGACAGGTCGACACTCGACAGGGTTGCCAATCTTTCAAAACTTTTAGTGATTCTTAAGGTGCTTTCCAGTGACCCATTTGAGTTACTCCTGAGCAACTCAGGCGTGCTCCACTGTGGAGCCTCCACAATTACTTTGCGCGTTCCAGTGCAGTACACTCTAAGGGCGGGTATTATAAAACTACTTTGACAGTTAACTTAAAGTTAACTTCTGAAATTACATGTAATTGACGTTTTCAATTAAAAGAGATGGACAATAAAGTATGAAAACAATCATTTTCCCGCCAACATTTGCTTGCTTGTCAATGCCAGTGTTTTGAAAGAAAATGTGAGAAAAGTCACTATTTCATTTGCAGAACTTCGCTATGGAGAAAGCGGTGGATTATTTTGGTAGCAAACAGCTCCCGCAAACTAAACTTGAACGTGGATTACTTTGTATACTTGATAGGCCGTGGATTTCCTTTTTTTTGCGAGTATTCTTTCCGATTTTATGTATCCAAAATTTGACAAATGTAGGATTTGATGGAAACTTGTGGAGAGACACGTCCGCCGGTAAATAGAAATTATTTCTACAAAAAGGCACACTACACAATCACCATTGTTAGGAAAAAACTTTGAAAAAACCGAGGAAATAATAGTTTCCAGTTTCCACATGTACAAAAGTCTTGTCAACAAACCACTGTCAGCGGCTGTCAACCGTTGTTTTCATACTCTTTTGGCATCTGACAGTTTGACGCCAGAGAGAGAGGCTTTTATATTGAAAAGGTCAATATACCCGCCCTTAGAGTGTCGTACACTTGAACTACTCATTAGTTGTATTCCTTTCAAGAGTTTGAAACACTCGAGAGGTGCTTTCCAGTGGTCCATTTGAGTTACTCCTGAGCAGCTCAGGAGTGCTCCACAATTGCTTTGCGCGTTCCAGTGCTTACAGTGTCGTACACTTGAGCTACTCATTTCTGTTACCCCTTGCCCCCTCATGCACCAACCCTTTTGCCAATGTTTCATGCTCCTGAAATCCGAAATGGTGGGGGTTAAGACGAGAGCGTTCCAGTGCTGCTTATGTCGAACAGTTCAAGAGCGTCACACTTCAGGAGCATGATACTCTAACAATTTAGGCACTGGAAAGCGGCTAAGCTACTCGTTCCGATGTTTAGTCGCCCCTGATTTGCAGGGAACAGATGCGTGGTGCAACAAACACTTTTCGAAAGGAATAAGCGCGTGAAGCCCAGGAGCTGTTCCGTAGCTCCTCCTAGGTGTGAAAGGAATACAACTATTCTGTTATCCCCTGCCCCCTCGTACACCAACCTTTATTTCGATGTTCCATGCTCCTGAAGTCCGAAATGGAGGCGGTTAAGACGAGAGCGTTCCAGTGCTGCTTATGTCGAACAGTTCAAGAGCGTCACACTGCAGGAGCATGACCCTCTAACAATTTAGGCACTGGAAAGCAGCTCTACTCACTATACTACTCGATAAAAGACAGTCTTGGTTCCGAATGTGAATTGCGAGCAATGGTTTTTGGATGGTGACGTCACAGATCTCTGCGACTGTACTCCGAGAATGATTTTAATCCAAACAAGGACACACCATTAGAAATCTAGCCGAATCTATGAACATTATTGGCTACTTTTACCAGAACCAAAACGGATCGTAAACAGTTTACAAATACCAACAGAATATGTTGGGTAAACTTTTGGTTCTGCTGAACGATTCAACCAGTGTTGTCGAACGTCAAAATATAAATCGGGAGAAACTGGCGTTGAAAATCGGTAGATTACTGCGCAAAATCGGTAGGTATAACATAGACTGAAATCCAGCGTTGCCATGTTTTGCATGATTTAATAAATGGTACATTATAAATCGGAAAATCATCCTAGTGTCTATATACACTAGCTGACGTTACACACATAGCCTCACTTTCGATGGAGGCCGGAGGGACAAAAAAAAGCGTTTAAGAATTATTTACACTAATCAATTAGGCGCCAGCTATTACGTCACAAATCACATAACGTCTCTTCCGATAGGGGGCAAACATGTCATTGGGACAAACAAACGATGATATTCACATCTATTTGCGTATTTCTGTAAATAGTCCTTAAACGCTTTTTTTGTCCCCCCGTCGAAAGTGAGGTTACGTATGTGACGTCAGCTAGTGCCTAAATGTCGTTGAGTATGTAAAAGCCCAGTGATTGTTTCCGTGAAAAGTTTATTTCTTTTCATTCGATTTATTGCTGAGAATGTGTGCTCAACATTGGCGGAAATAAGGCAATGACAAAATATTAAAAACAAATGAAGTCGTCAAGGATCTATTTGGCATCTGACAGTTCTGACGCACCGAACAAAATTCAATAGTAGATCGGATGCGACTATCGATAGAAAAATCTGCGAAAATAAAAACGTTAAAATTGATTTTTCGGCGAAAAACGGTAAAAAAATCGGTAGAATCGTAATTATTGTCGAAAATCGGTAAAAATTCGACAGTATTCGGTATTTCGGTAGGTCCGTTGCCATTTCGGTAGAAATACCGAAATTTCGGTAGCTTCGACAATACTGGATTCAACTTTCAACTTTTCAATGATAGAACGTCACCCTGTGAATGTGATGCCACCAATTCGGAATGGGATTTTAGTGCGGTGTTCGTGTAGTGCAGGGTTATATCACGTAAAGTAGGTGTAGCACCGAATACACCATCATTTTGTGTACCGAGTAAACGGTGTCCGACCATCTGTACACCATTCGGGCACCAAGTTGATTCCATTAACGAACGCCACAGAATCACTGATGTAAAAAAGTGTTGACACTTTGTATCATTTCGAACTTCCCTCACACAAAATACAAAAACCCTTTTCACGTGGCTCCGGTTTAACAAACCGCAACTTACCGCTCAAATTCGAGTGGTAGGTATCCATCACGTCACTTTGGGCCGAATTTATAGTCGCTCCTTGAAGTTTCCTCAGACCTTAAGGAATCCTTGAACGTTTAGAATTGACATGACTAACTTGTCAAATAGTAGGAAGTGTCCATTCTAAGCTCACGACCTCCAAGGAAGACTCAAGGAACGACTATAAATTCGGCCCTTTGTAACCGGGTTAGAAAACGGTATGTCATTTCTCTAACCGTTTTGTAACCCGGTTAGTTAAACCGGAGCCACGTGAAAAGAACTAAAGTGTTGAAAATTAATGCCTGCCCAGCGAGTCTGTGTCTACGGGGCAACGGTAAGGGGAATGCAGTTTTAAAAAAAAATGGCTGATTTCATTCATAAAATACACAGCTGCGTGCGGAACTTTTTGGAAGTGTTATCTTATTGCAACTCGTACACGAAAACCGATAATGACCAAACCCCCACACTCTAAGGGTGGGTATTATAAAACTGCTTTGACAGTTAACTTGAAGTTAACTTTTTGAATTACATGTATATTTTCAGAAGTTAACTTTAAGTTATTATAATACCCGCCCTAAGGGTGGGTATTATAAAACTACTTTGAGAGTTAACTTAAAGTTAACTTCTGGAATTACATGTAATTCAAAAAGTTAACTTAAAGTTAACTGTCAGAGCAGTTTTATAATACCCACCCTTAAGCCTAGTACTCATAACTGCGAAATTCGCACTTTTTTGACATTGCTTTGACAAATTGACGTTTTATGCGTGAATCAAACGTCAATTTGTCGAAGCAATGTCAAAAAAGTGCGAATTTCGCAGTTATGAGTACTAGGCTTTAGGGTGGGTATTATGGGCGGGTATTATAAAACTACTTTAGGAGTTAACTTAAAGTTAACTTCTGGAATTACATGTAATTCAAAAAGTTAACTTCAAGTTAACTGTCAAAGCAGTTTTATAATACCCGCCCTTATAAAACTGCTTTGACAGTTAACTTGCAGTTAACTTTTTGAATTACATGTAATTTCAGAAGTTAACTTTAAGTTAACTCTCAAAGTAGTTTTATAATACCCGCCCTTAGGCTGAGTTCGGCTTCACACTCTGTAAACTCTGAGCGGGCTCTAAACGATAAAATCCTGTTCGTTTTAGCTCTCCAGAGTATTGTCTTTTGCGTTGGGCTTATGACGTCATGATATCCATAGTCATACCGTTCTGCTCCGTGGAGAGCCAAACTCAGCCTTATGGCGATTTCCATTTGTCAATCAGTGCGCACTGAGTGTATCCCCATCTTCTTTTAAAAGCATGTAACATGTAAGGATATGGATTTTTTTGCACTGGTGCGACAAATGGAAATTATTATTTAAATTATTTTTGCAAAAATGGCGACCGTTTGTAAAACATGTTTGATTTCAACACAAATTCAACGTAGCGTTGAGCAGAACAATCGCAAACCGTTTACCAACGTTTGTATCTGCTGAACACAGCCATTGTTTTGATCAAACTCTTTGTTCATATTTACATCGAATTTGAGAGCACTTCGTGCAAAATTTGAGAGCGTTCTATTGCTCAAGTCGAACACGTTAATCTCGTTCGGAGCAACGTTTTTTTTTAAGCCAAACATGAAAATCCGTTTCGGATCGCTATAAGTAACAGGAGTGCGATTTTCGAAACCATTCGAGTACATTTCGTACACGAAATTTGACTGACAGCAATGTAAATTAAATGGAGAGCAGTCAAATTTCGTGTACGAAATGTACTCGAATGGTTTCGAAAATCGCACCCCAGTTCCAGAACAGGAAAAGAAACGAAAATTCGGGAATCCAGTTTTTCTTTAGAACCGGTAGAACGTGCTCGGAATCCACTCGGAACTAATTTCAGTCGAACCGTGAGACCGTGACCAATAAACTATTTATAAATGAAAAATTTGGATTTTAGTGATCCATTCCGAATGTCAGAATTTGAACTGTGAATAGTTCCGAATCGGTTCGAAGAACCGAGTTAGCTGTGATCGAGGTTTACATTCCGAATCAGTTTGGAAATTTTAATATTTTAGATACAGTTCTTCAATTAAAATCGGTTCTAGATCGACTTTGACCCAGTTCCATTGGCTCTAAGAATTTAACAAAGGCTACAGGTTCGATAAATGCTCAGTTTTATGCGGCTATACTCCTAAAATTCTCCGTTTCCTGTTCTGAATTCATTCGCAATCATTAAAAAACAAGGAAAAAATTTTACAACAATCCTAAACTCGTTCCGAACTGGTTCGGACTGCTTTGGATTATGATATGCGAAGAATCATTGGAAGAATCAATTCCTGAGCCGCTTTCCAGTGACACACTTTAAGCACTCCTGAGCTGCTCTGGAGCGCCCCAGACTGTTTATAGGCATTTCAGTACATTAGAGTTTTACGTTTCCCGCAACTGAACTGTTCGTTTTTCCTCTTCCCTGCACCAGCAATTTTATGGGTGCATCAAAAAAACACGACGATTAAAGTATAGGATGCGTTGCAGTGACACAACAGTTGTTTGGAGCCCCAGAGTGTGAAGCTACGAGTGTGGAGTACCTTAAAATTCGTCACTGGAAAGCAGCTTAGATCAATTCTGAAGTAGTTTTAGTCCTAAATTAGTTCCGAACTATTTAATTCTACATATAGGTCGGAACCCCAGTTCGGTTTGTGATCCGCAAATAAAGTTACTACATACCTTGCGTTCGGTATTTTGCTCGAAGAGCAGAGCGTGCAGAGCGGAGCCGTAATCACGTGACCAGCGAGCGAACAGAACAGTTGAACGCTGTATAAAAGTGCCAGAAATTTTAATAAACGAACGCGAATGAGGATACACCGAGTACACTTTTTGAATAAACGAACGGTAAAGTCAAGCTCGGAGAACTCAGACCAAAATAACGAACGCACGGTGATTCGGAACTATTTGCATGAACAATTCAAATTAGTTATGTCTTGCCTGGGCTGGGATCACGACAAGTAGAATTCCACTAGAATTCTACTTTTATGACGTCAGGTTACCTAGCAACTATCATCATCGCATGTACTGTACGCGATAAATAGTTCGCGGGTGACATCATGAAGTTAGAATTCAACTCGTCGTGATCCCTGCCCTGGATCACTTAACTTGGATGCTCTAGATACAGTTCTGTGTTCGGGATTCATTAAGACTCAATTCTGAAGTAGTTTTACTAGTTCTAGGAATTTAACCCAAGTCGAATCCATTATGAATTGTTTCACCGGTTTTAGAAATTTAACAAGAAAGGTTCACAAATAGCTTCGTTTTGGTTCGAAATTTGAAATGGTTGGGGGGATTGCGCACAAAAAATAATTTAGAACTGTTTTAATACTAGTTCTGAACTGATTCGGAACTAAAAAAATAAGCTGTAAATTACAAAAGTTTGAATCAGTAGTTGTATTAGGCAATTCAAACCACGTGACATTCAAGGTAGCGTGGCGGCCACACATGGACCAAAAAACACAAAAAAATATCTGGTTACTGCTCGACATAGTTTACGTACCTAGTAAACATATATTAGAGAGTTATTGGAACTATCAAATACTGCCTCGCAGTATTAAGGATCTACGTTATTTTATTAGTGCATCAGCACTATTTTTCCAAGAAAAAAACAGTTATTGGAAGACTGTAGTAGGTGCTAGAGTATTATCTTATTTTGTATTCATAATTTTGACAGATGATAGCTATGTTTATAAATTTCAACCTCAAAAAGTGTTTATTTTTGTTTGTGATTTTCTGCTGATACTCATTTTTTGATGTTACCCACAGTAAAATGGAAAACTATTGTAAAAAAAAAATTTCTAAGTAAAATTACGTCATCGTCGAAAAGCAAAACGTCAAAGTCGTCCAAAACGTCAGAAATTTGAAATAAGGGAAGTTTACTGCCTCGCACTAACCATACACAAATAAAGACAAGCAGTAACCTTATTAAGGGAATCCTTATTTTCGGACCCAAATGCGCATGTGTAGATGTCAAAATAAGGCTAATTTAAATACTGCTTGTCCTTATTGCACGTCCAATAACTCTCTATTGTATTGAATAATTAAAATCAAAGCTGCAAGCACAACTCGAAGCAAAATAATTGAAATATGCATGAAAGTAAAACTTGCTGGCCGCCACGCCATATTGAATTTTTCGTTTTGACAGATGGATTGAATTGCCTAATTCCTTTCACACCTAGGACGAGCTCCGGAACAGCTCCGGGGCTTCACGCGCTTATTTCTTTCGAAAAGTATTTGATGCACCACAGATTTAGGGCCAAATTACAGTATATTTGCATCTGCAAATTTGCAGTTCTGCAAATATGGCCGACTTACATAAAGATCGTTTCACCAGGGTTCATACTTTTGATATCGAACGCGTCATAACTTGAGAAAAAAGTGTTGTCGTAGATTAATTCATATGACACATTCAATTTTTTTGACAAATTGAAATGATTGACTTCGTTTAAGAGCCGACGAACGTTTTTGACGTCATTGATTTGTTTCAGTCATTTTCCATTTATTAAAAAAGGAAGGCAAAAAGTATGAACCCTGGTGAAACAAACCTTATGTGCCCTATTTGCAGAAACGAGCAAATTACAGAAAAAATCTGCAATTTCATCATATTTATCGGAAAAAAGTGTTTGGGCGCTACTGATTTACCAGTTTTAAATGTCTGCAAATGCATTCTGTTTCTGTAATACGAAAAGTCAGACTTGCAGGTCCTGCATTCGTATCTTGGTGTTGCAGAGCTTCTGTAATTCCAGGTTTTAGGGAGGATTTTCATGCATCCGTTTTTCCGTCCGAAAAGTCTTCTATTTTGACATATTTATATACGATTATGTCAGAATAGAATGTTTTTCGGACATATTTCGTCGGAAAAACGGATGCATGAAAATCCACCCATCCCTATGAAATCGGGGGCGACTGAACACCGGAGCGAGTAGCTCGAGTGTTTCAAACTCTTGAAAGGAATACAACTATTTCCTCCTTCAGAGCAAGAACTGAGAGAACCGTTCTAGAACAATCCCAAAATTGTCAACACACCTTGTTTATTTAAAAAGTGTACTCAGTGCAGGCTCATTCACGTTCATCTAATAAAATTTCGGGCACTCGGACACAGCGTTCAACTGCTCTGTTCGCTCGCTGGTCACGTGATTACAGTTCCGCTCAGCTCGCTCTGATCTTTGAGTAAAATACCGGACACAAGGACAGTTCGATTACGATTCTAAAAAAAACTAAAACGCGTTTTGTAACATGCGCATGTGCAGAACGATTTTCTTTGTTAATTTCAATCCGATTTCGCTCTTTTTTGACATTGTTCATTGCTTCGACAATTTGACGTTTTATGATACGTGAATCACAGGGCCGAGTTCAGAAATAACGCACAGGGTGCAAGTGCGATTTTATGGGTGTGCCTGATTTGACAATTGGCCGCCATGGCCATTGGGCCCATAGCACCATTTACCATTTTTGAACAGCTAGGGCGTCGCACCGGTGTCACACTCACACTGGGTGTATCATTCCTGAACTCGCCCCAGAATATGTGTTCTGTGACGTGAATCAAACGTCAAATTGTCGAAGTAATGTCAACTAAATGCAGATATTTGTAAAAAATAACTATACATTTTAATAGGGTTTTAAATTTTATTTGATAGATGTCGCCAGGAACTAATGTTGCAATTACAGTTTTCTGCATACATTTTTTAAACTTTACCTTTCAGCTGCTTAACTTTTGACATTTGATAACATAACAAACAATCTTCAAATGGCGCTAAATAATTAAGATTTTATTTGCACATAAATAATTAATAAATTGCAATGAAAATTCCGTGTACGGTGCTGGTAGCGGATCGTTCAATGCCGACGTTGCCGGCGAACCTTCGAAGAAAGCCCTGCAAATCGACCCTGGCCCTTTGCAAGCATCCAAAAAATGAGGAATTTTTCCTACTTTTATTCTCCGGACAAAACAAGAACGGCACCAAGTACAATTTAAAAGACAATCTCAAACAGGTACTTACCAAGTTTGTAGACGAAGGCAAATTTACTGTCCAACTGAAAAATCCCGAGCACGATTTGTGTGTCCAAGGGGATGTTATTCAAGTCAAAGGGTTTTTGCATTTGCTTCGAAGGGCTTTGGAAGGGAAAGTTTCAGCTAAGGAGATGACATTTTCCAGCATGAGTGTGACTCCGGTTAAAGCCAAAGATATTGCACCAATAAAACTAGTCATCAATAAAAGGTAAAATAATTAGGCCTGATTTATTCATCTTCAGATAAACTTATTTACAAATCTCTAATCCTATTGGTCGGCAGTTAACTGGGTGACCAATAGGATTATAGCTCTCATCTGGTCTGGCGATTTGCACCAATCAGAAACGCTCTAATTGGTTTGTGATTTTTGTGAGAATAGACAGTTTATAAAAAGATGAATAAGCTTGACTTATTAATCAACTAATAATAATTATTAATTCTAGATTAGATTATCCGAGCAAAGGCTTCCCACGCACCTTAGAATCAGTCTACATAAACGACCTCAAATGTTGCAGTCTACCCAAAGGAATTTTGCAGCTGCAAAAACTTAAAATTCTTGATTTAAGCAACAATTCAATAGAGTTTCTTCCCGAAGAACTAAACAAACTACCAAACTTAAAAGAATTAAATATGTCTTATAATTTGTTAGGCAAAGGTACATTGAAACAGTGGCAATGGCTTGGAGGCTGTCTATCAAAAAGCCTTTCCACCTTAGATTTAAGCAATAACACCTTAACATTTCTACCAGATCAATTGGTCAAATTGCACAATTTAACCAAGCTAAATCTAAACAACAACCGACTAAAATTATTGCCTGCAGGCATTGGCAATTTAAGAAACTTAAAAATCCTTTCAGCAAATTCCAATTTGCTTACAATTTTGCCTGGTAGCATTAAAAAACTAACATTACAAGCCATTGATGTATCTGAAAATAATTTTGAGCAAAATGTCCCTGTTAATTATCATAATTTTCAATTACCAGTTTGCTCTTTGAAAGAATATGCAGCCAAAAAGGTCCTTTGGTCAAGGATTCCTTATCCTAAAGGCTCCTTACCTTCAACTCTAATTGATTATTTAGATTATGCTAAATATTGTATTTGTGGTAAGGCCTGCTTTACGGTAGTCTGTAAGCAAAGGCATAATCTATCTTTGAGTAGTATTTCGGAAACTGTAAATACAATGGCTAATGAAACAGTTTATGTGCCTATTGATTGCTATTTTTGCAGTAGGAAATGTTTTCTTCAAACCGTTATTAAACGATTTAGAATTCCTATAGCTAGATAGGACGCGGTTGATTTTAGTTGAAAGAATTTTAATTGTGTAATAAAAATACTTTTAATTAAAATCAAATCATTATCTCTATTGTGCCTTGTATTAATAATGTAAATATTTAGTGTTAATATAAGGTTTTGATGGGTGATATGGTGATTTTTGTTTATTCAAGTTTTCATGTTACAAATTGCACATAAATTTTTTGTTGATTTACAATAAAGTTGTGAATAATAATTGTGATAAAGCATCATTTGGCTAAAAACAAAATTTGATTTATAAAACGCTGAAACACCTAAAACTGTTTTTTTTTTACATATCACCCTGTAGGTATCTAATTCATTGATTCATAAATGAATTAATTGTTCAAGTACAATTCTGATCTCAAAATGAGTGGAAAAGAAATTCTCTCACACAATTCATTGAACAGTTCCAAGGCGCGTGGCCGGAAAATTCAGATGGGAGAGTTTTCGCTAGTGAAATTAAGAAACATTGCATGACCATAGAGGTGGTGTCGAGAAAAAAATTGCGCCGCAGGCGAAAATTTTGTAGAAACTGTAGTTGTATCATATCAACTTCCAATTTGTTTTGTATCAGGAAAAAATAATAATAAATCCTGAAAGTTTCAAGTTGCTGTGATGGTTCAAAGTATTTTTCTAGAACCTTCAAAGGTGATTTTACAGGAATTTTATGTTTTTGTCGGGGTATAAAGATGAAAGGCCACACAGAAGGCAGACGCGTATCTGTAGTGACGTCACAAGGGTATCGGCGCTTGACAATAATAGGCAATCCTCTTTGCTTATAATCCTTGGTTTGTGTCAATCGCTCGTCGGCTATGTTTAGGTGAGTTCGGAAAATAGTTCCAAGAACAAAAAGGTGAAAATTTTGATAGTTTTCGCGTGTTCTCATATACGTCGAGGTCGGTGAGGGCGAATTCTCATGAGCGGAAGTTGACATTACTCAAGGAGAATACACACTCTAGACAAGGGCCGTTTAAAGGGGTGGGGGGGTAGAGGGGGTAATTACCCCCCCCAGACAAAGTTTTTTTTTGTACATTTATCAATTAGGTACAATAAAATTTCAACAAAAGACAAGTTCTACAAAGTAAAGGATTAAAGGCATCGTATGAATCTAATAGGCTCACCCAGTACCCGGCGTACCTACCAAGGTTCCTAATTTTCATAGGTTGTCTGGTAATGGGTAACTTGCTGACGCATCTGCGGGCCTTATGCAGATTTGCATTATGTTGAAGCACCCGAGATGACGTCATAAAGTTATCAGGCAACCTACCTCTCTCAAACAATCTTGCGTACTTACTACTATACAGTGCTATGGTTGTTTGAAATGTCTGGTTTTGTGTACAGTATTGCTAACACCCTGTAGAATGTTAACAGATTTTCATAGGACCATGAAGTAAATGTGAGTAAAGTCCGTCGTTTTTAAACTGACACTTTCCGTATGAGGAGCGAGGGGGTATTTCATATGACAAAAACAGGTGTGATGTCAGGTAACCATTGGCGTTCTATAATGTAGGAGGGCACCAGCTTAGATTCCGTTGGAGTATCAGATTAAAATCGACAGACATTATGCACTAACAACAGTAACAACCTGCAAAAGATTTAGCTTATACGATCTCCAATGGATGAAATATGTTGGTTTTTGTTGACACATGCAAGCTGCGTTTTTTTTGAAAAAATATTAAATATTTTAAAAACGGTTGAGTTTGGGTATGATGATTCCTAACAAAAAGTATGTAGGATTTTTAGAACGAGAATGTACTAAAATATAGGGTGTTCCATTAAAAAATAACAAAGTTCTGTCGCATACCTCATTTACAGAGCACCCTGTATATTTAAAAATATTTTTAAGTAATGCACCTTAGAGAATCAAACAACTTTGAATTTTTATTTTTTTTTCTTGCATCACCCTGTAAGAAGATATCGTCCGATATCGCACTAAGTGGACATCCTGTATATAACTATTTTGACGGCATCGAGATAAATTTTTGCCCCAAGCGTGTTTTTTAAACGACTTTCGGGTGCAGGAGAACGCCTACGAACGCTGCTCCCTGTTCCAAGAATGAGGACCCCGATTGTATGATTGGAGTCGGATCGGAAGAATGCATGATAGATGTGTCCCGGGCTTAATACGTATGGAAAAATCGAAAAAAGAATCGCTATTTTGACAATTCGATACGAATTTCCACTCAGAGGCCGGATGAAGTCCATGTGATCTCCGATTTGATGTTTTAAAACTGATCACGTCGGCCTGTTATCTTTTTGCTCGCTGAGGATTAACCGAATTCCACTATAAAATCAATTTGAAGTCATGTATAAAAAAATCTGTCGCATTTGCGATGTCATTCCTGAACTCGCCAATTGTCATTAACTGTATTTCTCCGTCTCTCTACGTTATATCTTTCTTCTCTTTCGTCCGGTACACCAGACCGCAATTTGTCAAAACGTGATGCGTAGCGTTACGTGTAACGTGACGCGTCTTCCAGAAAAATCACTCTCTATTCTCGTCCAAAGACTGCCGCCTAAAGCTTACTTTTCATGCATCCGTTTTCCGACGAAATATGTCCGAAAAATCTTCTATTTTGACATATTTTTATACGATTATGTCAGAATAGAATATTTTTCGGACATCTTTCGTCGGAAAAACGGATGCATGAAAATCCACCCTAAGAAGTTTCACTTCAAAGAAATTATGTGTAACATATTAAAATTTATACCTGCAATGTTAAAGAAAAATTTTTGACAATTCTAATAGCCAATTCAATTCTCTTATTTTTTGCCATGTGACGCAAATTACCCAATCATTTCAACGTTAAACTGAAAACAGATCCTATGAGCTGTGTTTCTAGGTATGTTCTCACAGAAATCAGAAACCAGTCAGAGCGTTTTTGATTGGTGCAAATCGCCAACAACCAGTTTTCTGACTGTTTTCAACCAATGAAATTCGCTCTGACTGGTTTGTGATTTCGGTGAAAACAGATCTTGTATCTAAACACTTCTTTCTATCACGTTGTCTCTCTGTACTTGCCAGTATTTGGTTAATTCGTGAAAGAATTTATATTGCTCAATTTGAGATTAAAATGTGTTATCACGACGTTACCCAGTGGCGCAATTAGGGGGGGGGCTTAGCCCCCCCAAGCTCAAGATTAGCCCCCCCAAACCCGATGGTCACAAACATGATGGTAATGACACAAATTAGCCATTCGCCCTCCCAAACCAGAGCGAGCAGATCTGAGTCGCTTTCCAGTGATGCACTTTAAGCACTCCTGGGCTGCTCTAGAGCGTCCTGGACTGTTTATGCATTAGAGTTTCGCGCAACTGAACTGTTCGTTTTTTCTCTCCCCTGCCCTCTCAAGCACCTGCTATATACCGTGCGTTCGTTATTTTGGTCTGAGTTCTCCGAGCATGACTTTACCATTCGTTTATTCAAAAAGTGTACTCGGTGCAGCCTCATTCGCGTTCGTTTATTAAAATTTCTGGCACTTTTATATAGCGTTCAACTGCTCTCTTCCCTCGCTGGTCACGTGATTACGGCTCCGCTCAGCACGCTCTGCTCTTCGAGCAAAATACCGAACGCAAGGATAGAAGCATCAAATACACGAAGCTTAAAGTGACACAACAGTTTTTTAACCCTTTCGTCTGCTGGTCCGTGTCTGTTTGTGCACTTAGGAGGAATTTAATTTGACAGAACTTGTTTCAGTTTTTAAGTTGTTTTTAGTACCAATTTAAGTAGTTTGAGAAGTTTTAAACTCAATATATTTTTACTTACATATTATGTATGTATGTACAGGGTACAAAATGTAAAATTGTCAATGCTTTCAAACTTTTTATGTAGAAAAGGCTTGTGTTGCCAACATAGTTACTAAATTTTTGACTTGGGGAATTATCTTTAAATAAAAAACAAACTTTAGGACTTAAATCATTTATTTGTTTTTTGTATTTGCGCATATACAGGGGGTGTCAAAAAAGTGTCACACATAAGATTTTTTTCTTGTAATAGAACACCCAGTATATTTTCATATTTTTTGATAGCGCTTGCAGAGACAAATATAAATATATACACCGTGATTCACGTCGCCCGTGCATTAGAAATTGTGCAGTTTGCAGGTGGATTAGTACAAATACCATCTAATCTACCTGTAAGCTAATGCATGGGCTACGTAAATCACCCTGTTTAGTTTGATAAGGTTGTTATGCACGGTTTCGGATTTATTTACGGTTATCTCCGGGGAACGGCCAATTTTTAGATAACCGTAGAAACGTTAGACCAAAGTCTATGTTAGACGTTGAAAATAAATATTTTAAAGTCGGACTTTGACCAAAGGGAAACATACAAAAAATCAAATTAATGATTTAAACCCTACAACTTTTGTATAAGTAATACTTTTTGTCATAAGATATCTAGATTTCCCGAGAGATTCCCATATATCGAGAAAGGACAAAATAAATGGGTCACCCTGTACATAAAAATGTCTTTTATAACTTTGTTTTTTTTTTTTTCAACTAAGAACGTAGATTATAACAAAGTTTATAGCAGAGTATTTCCGTCAAATTCAGGCATTTGTGAAATACGCACTGTACTCTGTAGTAAGTTTTGAAAAACATCATATACTGTCACCAAATCGACTTATAGAGACCCGGGGCTCAGGCCCCCCAAAACCAACAAGCTAGTTGCGCCCCTGACGTTACCATGCCGGCATGCCATTCAAGTAGCATGAATTTTCCAGGAAACATGTTTTATGTTCGTATCTTGGTTGTTATATAACTGCTACGAGTTCTACCCGGAGAAATATACATGTAATCCGGAGAATTACCGTGAAAATCCGGAGACTCCGGGTCAAAACCGGAGAGTTGGCAACCCTGGTAACATCGTACACGTGTTAAGAAGTTGAACTCCTTAAAAACTATTTCCTCCCTCATAGAACGACTTCATATGACTAAGGGCGGGTATTATAAAACTGCTTCGACAGTTAACTTAAAGTTAACTTCTGGAATTACATGTAATTCAAAAAGTTAACTTCAAGTTAACTGTCAAAGCAGTTTTATAATACCCACCCTAAATAAAGGGCCACACAAAAGGGAGACGACCATCTGTAGTGACGTCATATCGAGTCACGTTGAAATGTCATCATTTTTATAAAATGAGAAAAATTTGAAGTGCTCTTGCATTTGATATCTTTTAACTTACCATTACTCGAAAATGGCTCTTTGAATTTTTTTGTCCCAAGATAATTTTTGTTTAGAATGTCCAAGGGTGCGTTCAAAGACGGCAATGCTAATGCCAAAACCTACTTTTCCCCTTCCACCGGTAATGCCGAACCACGTAGGTTGGACAGTGATGTGCCTGTAGACAATGTCAACGTAAACAATTGATTGTCTACGCGTAGACAATTCGAATTGTTTACGTGAGCATTTTTCTACACTTTTGTCTACATGCGGCGTAAACAATAACTTATTTAAAAAAATTCGAAAAAAAAATCAAAAGTTACTATACTATCACTATTACTTCGATATTAGCATTCACTGATTATAAAATATCCGAAAAACCAATAATAAAATAGAAATAATTTAAAAAAAGGAAAGTGTGAGGTTAGATTAAACGTCATTTATATTATTTTACATTGTTGACACGTTGTCTACATTGTCTACATTGTCTACACGTAAAGTAGACAATGAAAGTCTACGTGTAGACGCACATCCCTGAGGTTGGAGCCGAACTCGAACGCAAAATGCCAATTTTGGCTTGACTGTAGCCATTCCTGAACGCAGCCCAGGAGTGCGTTCAAAGACGGCAATGCTAATGCCAAAACCTACTATTCCCCTTCTACCGGCGATGCCAAATCTGGTGTGAATTTGCTGGAACGCCAAATACCGTTTCTCAATATGCAATCCAAACCACGTGACATTCAATATGGCGTGGCGACCATACATTAACCAAAAAACACAAAAAATCTCTAGTTTCTGCCCGAATTAATAGTTTAGGTAATTAGTTAACAAATATTTTATTGAATAATCAAAATCGAAGCTGCAAACAAACAAAATAATTGAAATATGCATGAAAACACATAATCAAAACTAGCTTGCTGGTCGCTACGCCATATTGAATTTGGTCTCATCCAATCAAAATTCATTTTCTATAAGAATAGACCTATCTCGCAGGATTAGAAAAAGAGAGCTTAATTATAATAAATACAAGTTAGAAAGCAATGAAAGATGACATGCGCGCGCAACTCGTAGGCTGCAGTGTAGTCAGATTGTATTGTTTCAGAACAAATGTAGACAATACAAATTGAATATTATAACATTAAAGAAGTGATATAGTGTCAAATGTTGTACAACGTCTTAAATCAGACGAAAAAAGAGCTTTAAAGTGGATGAACATCGTTTGCACTTTTATTTTGATAAATGTTTCATCCGGCAACATCGCTCAATGAAATTGCAAAGGAATATGTCAAGTATAATCTAACATTACCTTAAACGATACTGCGGTGAGTTCAAGTAATATGTAAAGTATTAGTTTGCTCTTTGTCGAATTACACGTTACAAAGAAAGAAGGGACGATTAATTCTGAAATGGCCCCTGAATAAGAATATGACGCAAGCCTGTCACAAACTTGCTTCTCATTAGCTCACCTGCAGCCTACAAGCGACGCGCGCAGTCCAGGTAATAGTCCAGGAGGTGGCTCCAAAAACATGCAAGAGTTTTCGCAAGGCGGATATTTTCAAAATAGGTCGTACTTTAGTGCTAGAATGCTAGTGTACAGTCAGCACTCACAGTTCCGGGACAGCTGGCTCTGGGACGCGGGCAAAGTAGTAATTTTAAGAAGCATCTAGACTGTTTTCTCAAAGCTCAAAATTTATAGAAATTTTGCACATTATCTGTTTGAAGGTCACAGATAACGTATGTAAATCGTCAGACGTCTAGTTCGTTGCAAAAAGGGGGTCAGACGTCCTCAAAGTTTTTATTTTATGGCATTTTCTTCAAATATATTTGTCAAATACCTGCAAAAATATATTTTGACAGGACACCGAAGAAAATGCCATAAAATAAAAACTTTGAGGACGTCTGACCCCCTTTTTGCAACGAACTAGACGTCTGACGATTTACATACGTTATCTGTGACCTTCAAACAAATAATGTGCAAAATTTCTATAAATTTTGAGCTTTGAGAAAACAGTTTAGATGCTTCTTAAAATTACAACTTTGCCCGCGTCCCAGAGCCAGCTGTCCCGGAACTGTGAGTGCTGACTGTACACTAGCATTCTAGCACTAAAGTACGACCTATTTTGAAAATATCAGCCTTGCGAAAACTCTTGCATGTTTTTGACGCCAGCTCCCCAACTATAATAGGAGATCGGTCTATTGCCTTTATGAAGAAAATTATTATTTAATATTGATTAATAATAGGCAAAGAAGAAGATGAAAACGAGATCTACTCTGAGTAAAACCGAGTACCTACATTAAAGCATAAAGTAAAACCTCGCGAAAAACGACATGCTGCCACCTCACACAAATTTGAAATTATTGACAATTTTACTTTGTATTGCCAACATAATGTCATGTTGACTTTTACCTTTAAAAAAAACACAGATTTTAGGTTTCGATGTAAGCTGGGTTCAGCTTGCACACTCCGTGCACTCCGAGTGACTCCGTTCGCAGTCCAGCTGTTCGGGTATTGCCTTTTAACGAATCAGACAACGGCTGGAGTGCGAACGAAGTCACTCGGAGTGCACGGAGTGTGCAACCCGAACCCAGCTGTAGGTACTATAGCCGTTTTCTCGCGTCCACTTTTTTTGACATTGGTTCAAACCTGTTTTGAAAAAAGTGGACGCGTTCTTGCAGCAGTTTAAAAATTCGATTATCAAATTTCGTTTTCAAAGCGTTTTTTTTTTGAAAAAAAAAAATATGTCATTGTCATTTTTGACTTTTTTTTTTAAAAAACATGACTAGCAAAGGATTACACGAAGTGCTAAAAAACCTCCACTGGATCGTAGGTAAGCGCGCTTTTTTCTCATTACAATAAAACCCCATAATCCTCTAATTTACAATTATATATTTAAGGAAGATGGCAGTCGGTTAATGCCGCAGTTTTTTACCCAACGATGAACAAAACGGTGAAATTCAACGAAATTTTGGAATTTCAAAACGTCGGACAACCACTTTTGGCCTACAGTTCGATAACTACCAATCCGGAAACTAAAGCTTTTATGCATTTGGAAAAAGGGTGGTTGAGGGTTGATGAAGATCAATGTACTTTAGCTTTTCTTGTAGGTAATAACAAAAATAATTCAATCATTTATCTTTTATATTTTATAAAAAGTAATTATTTGTTTTCTAGCAATGAATTTGGGATTGTCTACTTTAGAAGAAGGCTACGTTAAAGACAATCATATAGTTCTAAGAACGGCTTGTTTAGGAGTAATGAAATTTGTTAAACAAAGTGTTTTATCGTTGCATCGATGCTACAGGTAGGTACCCATATCGCATTTATTTTTGTTATTGGCAAAAATGTTGTTCTAGATTAAATGAAAAAGGTGAACTGGAGTACAATTTAATGATGGAAACTCCAAACACGCCCCTCACAAAACACGTAGAGGCAATTTATACAAAAGAAAAGTAATAAATTTAAGTTATCAAGTAATTCTCTTTGTTTCTATTCTTGCTCTGTCCCAAGCCCAAGTTCCAGAACAGTGTATTTTCGAAAGCACCTAAAAACTTATGGACACTTTTCTAAAAACAATGGTGGCACAATTTTTACATTCAATTTATATTCTTTTGTAATCGTCTAAAATAAAAACCTTAATTAAACAATAAATTAAATTAAATAAAGTGCAATAATTATTGTAAAAAGGTTCGCGCCAATATTTTGCGTCAAAAAAAAAAGAAGGATCTCTGCATTAGAAACGTCAAATCAAATGTCAAAAAGCTAAATATTTAATTATTCAAAAATTGTTTATAATTTTGTTTAAATTAATATTAAAATGCCCAATATTCCGATAGTATATTGCTTCAATATGTAATTCGTACAATTCCAGCTTTATTTCTTGTTACAAAGCCACAAAAAACTCAATTATTAATTGCATTCAAAAAAAATCGATCCTACTATAAATAAAAAAGGGCGGCAAATTTAAAATCAATGTCCTAAGAAATGGTTTTAAACGATGGTTTTGAGCACAGAATGGTCTCAAGTGGAAGTAATCGATTTGGTTAACGATGGATCTGGATTAGGTAAAATTTCCTATTATTTAGGTATTTCCTTCAAAGTTAATTATTATATTAAACAGGGTTTGGTATCGTGGGAGGCCGCAGCACCGGTGTAGTGATAAAATCAATCCTACCTGGCGGTCTGGCGGACAAAGACAACCGACTACAAAGCGGCGATCATATTTTGCAAATCGGCGATGTTAATCTGAGAGGCTTTTCAGCTGAGCAAGTCGCTTCGGTTTTGAGACAAGCTGGCTCTCAGGTAATTTTACTCGCCTACTTTGAAATACACACAAAATTTTCTTTGAGGTATTTTTGAAAGTAGATGGACCCGTGACGTCACATTAAAGTTGGTTCAAACTTCAAACCGTTTCGAAATACAACGTTTTCAAACCATTTTCTCGCGCCAAGAAAATATGACGTCATGTAACGCTGTTTTGAAAAATATTTTCAAACATTTTTTAGGGCCAGTTCATTAACTGTCAGGTATGCAATCTGATGGATAAAAACGGAATCTGTAATAAAAATGAGACAATCTAATAAGGTTCTTGTTAACTAACAAGGACTTCACTGATGATTGATCTAAGGGCCAAATTTATAGTCGCTCCTTGAGGTTTTCTTATAGCGTTTCCGATTGGTAGATCTAGTGCGGAACTAGTGCAAATTTTTCTATTTCTGTCTTTTTCTTCTACAGGTTGATTAAAAGGATGCAAATACACTCAGTGCGCACTGAATCTACCAATCGGAAACGCTATTAGACCTTAAAGAAGCCTTGAACGTTTAGAATTGGCATAATCAGGTGCTAGCTGACGTCTCACACATAACCTCACTTTCGTTCGGGGGACAAACAAAGCGTTTAAGCTCTATTTATAACACACAGGCGCTAGCTATTACGTCACAAATCATATAATGTCATTTCGTTAGGGGGACAAAATGTCATTGGGATAAACAAACGTTCTCAAATAAACCTGTGAGTTGTTAGTTCAGACAAGTCCGGCGCAGTGAGGTTTTCAATCCAATGTTTGTCCAATGACATGTTTGTCCCTCTATCAAAGTGACATTATGTGATTTGTGACATAATACGTAATAGCTAGCGCCTGTGTATGTAAATAGTCCCTAAACACTTTTTTTGTCCCCCCATCGAAATTGAGGTTATGTGTGACATGTCAGCTAGCACCTTGTCAAATAGTAGCAACCAAGGGGCAAATCATCTAGGAATTCTTTGCCAGATCTTTGGGGAATTTAGAAGAAGTTGAATGAATTTGTGGGTAATTTCAAGGAATTTATATGGGAAATTGGAGGAATGTATAAGAAATTGGGGGAATGTATTATTTTTATTATTATTCAATTCACAAGATTAATATTGACGTCTTTAAAAAAGATAAGTCTAGTAGGTGAATAGCCAAATTTTCCTAAACCAAGTATGCCAATATGTTTCGCACAGGCCACTCTTTAAAATCCCATAAGGAAATATACGTATCGTCGGGCAGGTATGATTGACCCAGTGTATTTTTGAATTCATTCGAGTATACTTCGTACACAAAAGGACCCCGCACACCTCTTATGGGTTTTTGGTTTTCTGTCAAACTCAATGAAATTTTGATATGTGTTAGACCTTAACTTCCTGATAAAAAGTTCTCATGGGCCCGAACCAATCCTATGATTAGTTTTTGAGATACAGGTACTTTTATGTCCAAGAAATGTATACATTTTATATGTATTCACAATCTACCTGTCACCTAATAATAGGTCTGTTTCTGCAAAAATCACAAACTTGTCAGAGCGAATTTGATTGGTCGAAAACAGTCAGAAACAGTCAGAAAACTAGTTACAACCAATGAAATTCACTCTGACAGACCTAATAATAGGTGACAGGTAGATGTGAATGCATATAAAATGTGTACATTTCTTGGACATTAAACCACCTGTATTTCGGAAACTAATCATAGTATCGGGTTGGGCCCATGAGAACTTTTTATCAGTAAGTCAAGATATACCACATATCAAAATTTCATTGAGTTTGACAGAAAACCAAAAACCCATAAGATGTGTAAATTAAATGGGAAGCATTCGAAATCGTATCAAATTTACTATGCGAGAATATTCGAAAATACGACCCGGTCACGGCCTGGGTACACTAGTGCGTCAAGCATATAGGTACAGGGTAACAATTTGAAAACTAGCAATCGGGAATATCTCTGAGACAAAAAATACTATCAACAAGATCTCAAATATACATATCGGGAGATTGAAAGGGGGACCAAAATGAGGCACTTTTTGATTCATCCCACCTCAACTGTAAGGAGGAGCTAGCCTCACCTATTTTTTAGAAATACGAATCTACCTTGTGTTGCACATCGTTGGATAGCTCGTTGCTTTCCTTTTACGCTCTTATAGCAAAAGCTTAAATCGTACGATTAGTTTTTGACATATCGATGTTTAAAAATAAGCATATTTTTAAAACTACCTAATAATTTTGACCACCTATCTCTTAGACAAAAGACAAAAGAATTCTGTCATAAAAGTGTCAAAAAGCTTATCTATGGTCAAAAAGGTACACATCGGAGAAACCAAATGTGTTTATTGCCTAACCCCTTCTTCTCCTGCCTCCAATGCCCTTTAATGATTTTTCTAAAACGAGAACTACCTCGTGTGATACCCAGAGGCGCCGACTTTTGAAAATCCTCATGGGTGCAGGATAATAACTTTATGTTTATAGGGGGAGGGGGAAGCTCGGAGGGGAATTTTTTTTTCCGGATGCCACACCCAAAAACGTCAATTTACAGTCGAAGAAATAGGTACAAGTACAAGAAAAACGATATCAAAAAGTAAGCCAAGTACCAAGTACTTAAGTAAGTAAGTAGCTTACTTATTGTATAATTCTTTTGCAAAGTTGTGTAAATTCAAATTACATGATACTGATACTGCCACACGGAACGGAATAACCATTAAACACGTTTGTATTTCCGGATTCCCCACCAGAGCTCCCATAGGTGCTCCGCACCCATGAGAGGTTGCTCATGGGTGCACCTGCCCCAATGCCTCCATGTAGTCGGCGCCAGTGGTGATACCTACTTTGAAAAGTTTTTTATTCCACTTTAGGGACGTGACCACCTCATTAAAATATAGAACATGATCACTTAAGTGTTCATCTAGAAAACACAAAACCAATTTTGCCTGGCAAAGTTGAAGAGTATTCAGCTATTCTATTAAAGCCCTGCTATTAGGCTGAATTCTCTTGGAACCACGTTATGCAGCTGACACCCAACAGCAAATCATAATTCAACCATTTCTCGCCGGTATTCGGTAGTGCCCCACTGCTACACTTACCTTTAATAGTATAATATCTTTGGCATAGTCACAGCTATAATAATCGTGTAACAAATGAGATCCTAACCTGAAACCGCGAATAGACAAACATTTAGACACAAAAATTTGAGAATTGGAAAGCAGAAACTTAGGGAAAATTGAGTAGATAAGTAGACTTAAGTATCTTTTGAATTTTCACTGTTTACAATGACCAGTGTGTTGTCAAAAGGACGTCCAATTTTGAACCACTTTGGTCTCATACGACTTTTGTCCAAAATAGAACGTCGTACTGAAGACATGTTTTGGACGTCCAGCTGATGACAGCCTTAGTAACGTCTTAACTAACATCCTTCCTTTATTATGTCGCATCAGTTTCTCAATAGTTTTTTACCATTTTGTCCAAAACTTCAAACTCGATTTTTTCGAAAACCCAAAATGTTAGAGAGTTCAGTAAAGTAGAGTACCTACTACTACTATTCAGAGAGAGTCAAATATTTACTGGTTTTCAAAATGTGCTTACTTTTAAACCTTTGAGTGTTACCGAAGACAGAGTAATTCTATTCAAGAAACGGATACTTTTTATATGTTGTCCAAATTGTCGATCAGCTATAAAACAAAGCAAATACCATGTTGAGAAAATCCGGCATATGGGAGAAGAAATTCAGTTGCTCAAATTTACCATAGCAGATAAAATCACGATAATTTCAGATAAGTAAAACCAAAATTGTAGACTTACCACGGAACAGCAAGATCCCCCTGTCAAGACTGCTGATGAACATGGTGAGCTTGAGGGCACACAAATTACATTCTCTCAAGTAGGACGAGCAGTAGATTCGGCTATGGCACACAGCAATATGTGGATATACAAGCCCAAGTGAAAGATGGCCAGTCTTCTAGTGCATTAATTACAAAGAATGCTGACTTTGTTGGTGTAGTTCTGCATAATGGGAATAATAATGCATCAAAAATAGCCAGTTCATAGGAGTTCCAAAGAAAAAATGGCTACATGTAAACCAAGCCCAGAACAGTGCTACATGTGAGTCGGTGTTGTCCTATGTTAAGAATAAAGCCAGCAAATAAATTATTTGTTGCCGGGGACTACAATTTCCCTAATTTAAAATGGTCTAATGATGCTCTTGGAACCCTTATTGAGGAATATTCCTCAGTTGCAGAGAGCGTTATTGAAACTTTCCATATTTGAATCTGTATCAAATCAACAATGTACCAAATATATTGTTGAATCATATTTGATAGGTCGTAAGCAAAGGGTAAAAAATTGGAACATCTTTATCTGATGATTATAATGTAACATCCGGAGGTCCACAAGGGGGTCATCTTGCTCCATTACTTTTTAATATTTACATAAATGATAATATTGACTGCTTCCAACATTATTGTACGCAGATGATTTAAAATGATTGACTCACCAAATGCATCAGTACTCCTGCATGAAGATCTTCGTTTTGAGAAATGGTGCGCGAATAATGATATACTCCTCAACATAGGTAAATGTATATGTATACAATTTAGCAGAAAGTCAAGTCCAAAACTTAATTCGTATTATGTACAAAATATTCTGCTTGATGATGTAACTACAATTGAGCAGGACTTGAGAGTTGTGTTTGACCACAAGCTAACTTTTGTGGATTATTGATTATATTTGTAATAAAGCTCTGAAAATGTTAGGCTTTGTGAAAAAACATAGCAAAGATTTCAAAAATGTATTTGCTCTCAAAACTTTGTATGTGTTGTAATGATCCGGAAAAATAGTCCCGATATTAACAATGTCTTTACTGTAAAAATTAAATGTAATCAAATAATCAAAAACTGAATTTCCGGTATTTCAAATCAAAATCGATAAATTGAAAATGAAACAAATTAGGGTTGACCCCAAATTAAATTAAAATATTTATATACGTTAAAAATTCTATTATTTAGTCACCAAGCGTGATG